GGATTGAATGAAGAAATTCATTTCTATCAAATATATTTTTCTAGTAAAAATAAATTTCTTTATATAATCCAATTCTATCCAAGCCTAAAAAATATATATCATTTCCATAAAATTTTTATATTAAAATGAATTTTCTAACCTAATCCAATGTCTTAGTTGGTATTCATTTGAATATAAAAATAGACAAATGAAGATCAAGACGAGATTTAATTACTGATGACAATTAATTCTTCTGGTTTATGGTTTTATTCGGATGTCATTATGTATTATTTGAAGATAAACTTGACAGGTTAAATAAATCCTTCAAAGAAACAAATTTTGTCAGTTATGTAAGATAAAAGTCTTTTGATGTCAGTTCCGAAACTAGAAAAGTAACCATGGCTATCATTCATTTCAAAATATTAATGTGCTGTACTGTTTTTTGAATAACTTTTGATAAGAATATCATAGAGACGAAAGAAAACTCGGAGCCGTCATCGAACTATATCACAATTTGATTGATCAACGTTAACCAATCAAATTTCAATAGAATTCGCTGATACCGAATCCTCTCTGCTTAGAATGGTAAAAACCGCGGATCTCTATGATGTTCCAATAAAAAAACAATACAGCTCATTGTATTTTAAAATGAATTGTAGTCATACAGATCTTTTTTTAAAATTATAAATATGATTTTTTGTTTTTTTTTTGAAGAAGAAAATTTTTAATTTTAATTTACAATTTTCTCTTAAGTTGAAAGGTGTTTATTTTGATCGTGAAATTTTATTGGAACAATTAACATTGGATGTGAAAATTTCTATAAATATAAATGATTTAATTCCAATAACTGTTTATAGTCGTATTGATGCAGTTCAAACAAATAATAATTCAAATGATCATCTTCGTTTTTTATTTTATCAATTATTTATAAAACAATATTGTTTAAATTCATCATCAATATTAAATAAAAATGATTTTATTGATATAATTCAAAATTATTATGATTTAAATCGAAAAGAATTAAAATTAATACAAGAATTTAATAATGAATATAATTCAAATAAAAATATTTTTACATGGTTTATACGTGATTGTTTTATTCGACGAATGTTAACACAATCTTTATTAAAATTAGATATTCAAATATTATTTTCATTAAGATTTTTTATTAAAGATATGTTTAAATTAATGATTGAAAATGTTTCAATATCAAATCAAAAACAAAATTTTTATTCAAATAATTCAGGAAGATATACTAATGGACGATCAACACAAGAACAAATATTTTATCGTGGACAAGCTTTATCAAAAGAAACTTTATTTAAAATAAAATCAAATCTTGGTAATAGATATATATATATAGTTCATATTAGAAATTCTTTTTAATTAATTATTTGTTTTTTGTCTTTTTGATTATAGGTGAAATATTATCAATAAATAATTTTATATTAGCAAGTAAAAATCGTCAAGATTCATTAGGATTTATTCGTAAAAATATTCCACCAAATGATTTAGTCTATAGAGTTTTATTTGAAATGAAAATTCCATTAGAATATTCATTACAAAAACAACGTCCTTTTATTGATATTAATTATTTAAATGATAATAATAAATTATCAAATGAAGATGTTGATGATAATAATTTATATTCAATATTATTTTTTATTGGTTCTATTTTTCGAATTAATACAGTTGTTTTTGATATTAATAATGATTGTTGGATTATTCAATTAACATTATATGATGAAAAAATGAATCAAGATTTTTCTCAAGTATTTACATTTCTTAATGATATAAAACGAACAAATACAGAAAATGCAATAGCATTAGCAAATCTTCTACGTCAAATATCACCAAATTCAGCTGAACAATTTTATAAACATTTATTAAAAAAAAATTCTGAATCTATATCAAAATTAGAATGTTATCGTGGTCTTGGTCTTTGTTCATATTCAAAAGATAATAGTGAACAAGCATTAGATTATTTTGAAAAAGCATTAAATTTAAAACCAAATGATAAATTAATTAAATCATCATTACATAATAGTATAGGTCTTGTTTATGCACAACAAGATCAAATTGATGAAGCATTACTACATTTTAATAAAGCATTAGAAAATACATCATTACCATTACATATTGCTTGTGTTCATCATAATTTAGCATTAATTTATAGTAAACAAGAAAAATATGAAAAAGAACTGGAACATTATCAAGAAGCTCTAAAATATCGTACAGGTCAATTACCATCTTATCATTTACAATTAGCATCATTACATAATAATATTGGTATTGCATATTCAGATATGCATGAATATGATAGAGCATTAACTAATTTACGAAAAGCACTTGATATGCGTTTAAAATTATTATCTGATACACATATTGATGTTGCAAGAAGTTATGCAAATATTGGTACTGTTTATGCTAAAACACAAGAATTTCGAATGGCTTTAGAATATTTTAATAAAGCATCACTTTTATTTGAAAAACAACAACAAATACCTCAACAAGATATTGAACAACTTGATAGAAATATAAAAATTGTTAATGATAAACTTAGGTAAGAAGATTAAATTGAAATTATTGATTTATTTTTGTTTGTTTTTTTTGTCTAGACGAAAAACGTATTAATCAATTTGTTATCTTCTGATAAAATAAATATATTCAACAAAAAACAAAAAACAACCCTGTGGAAAACTACTTCTATTTTTTCTTTCTGAATGTATTTCTCATTGAGAACATTTGTGAATAAATGTTTAATAAAAAAAAATTGTATGTTGATTAAATATGACTTTTTTCTTTTTCTTGAAAACAGTTTGTATTCTTTCCGATCGAAAAGTTTATCAAATTATTGTTAAATTTTCATTTTGTTTTTTTGCTTTTACAATAAATTTAATGCAGTCAATATGAATTTCAATCTTCTGTCAAGAATGTTGATATATAATTTTGCCCATTGAAAGTAAAATTAGGTCTTTATTATTGAATTGGTAGTCATCAACAATCAACAATCTTATTCATTTTTATATAGAAGTCATTAAGAAAAATTCCCACGTTTCTTTCTGCATTTTTGGAGAACAGCGAGGGGTTACTGAGATCTATTTATTTAAATCATCGAATTTATATAAGAATCTTGATTACTCATGTCAATCTTTCAAATGACATATTATCAGATAATATCATCTCTTGTAATAATAAAAATATAAACATGAGTATAAATTTTTCGTAATTGAACAATGTGATTTTTTTTCTATAGATTTTTCTAAATAAAAGACATTGTAATAGAAATTGATAACTATTTATCTCATTCGTTTATTCAACTCTCATCATGATCCACTGGTTACATGTTCAGACAACCTATGTATTCAGTAACTAGATTGAAATTGATAAAATATATGAAAACATCGTGCGCAAAATAAAATACAAAAAACAAAAAGATGAATTATATGATAGTCGAATTTTATTTCAAGATGGTAACACTAAATTTGCTGATATATAGTCAACTGAAAGTGTGGAGCAATATTAAAGGAAAAGATGTGAGAAGAACAATTTTTAAGTTTTAAACAAATAAAAGCAAGAATGAAAAAATAACTTTCAAGGATTATTAAAAAATTTTTACGAGACTTGATAACAAATACGCGATAGTTAAACGAGATTTCTGTGTAATTAGTTTAATATAAGAATGTTTTTCATTTTTAATAAAATATCTTGTTGATCGATTGTGAAAAATTTATTCTTATATTCTCATGTACTAGGCATCGACCTTCAGTCTAGTTTCTTTCATTTGATGATACTATATATAACAGGACTTATAGAAAAATTCCGGAAGCTACTGAGAACAACTCATCAGAACATCTTGAAAGTAATAAAACAGATAGGCCTCGATGAGTAGAGCAAAAGTTTTTATACACTTGAAACTCTTGGATGATTTACTACAGAAGATATTAAAATTGTAAGAACTAAAACTCCTATTCCCATTATCGTTCCTCTTTCTCAGTCACAATACTTCTAATTGAGCTAAAATATTTTTTTACAGGTACTAGACATCGTTTGCATCACCTGCGTGTTTTTTTTATCTCTCTTTTCATTCGAATAAAAATACGAAAACCTTAAGAACATTCTAAAAAATGCATGTTTTTTGTGTTTTTTCTACCTTGAGATTTTTCCTGTAAACCCTAATAAAAAAAAAAACAGCGGTGTATCATATTTTGAAAGAAAAAAGAGGTTAGACATTCTAAACATTTTCTCGTATAATTAGAAGATAGTTTCAGCTCGATCGTGTGTGTTATACTTGAGAAACAGATACCATAGTCGATTTTTTTTTTGTTGAAAAATTAATTTTTTTGTTTCAAAACAGCGAAATAATGTTAAATCGGAGGATAGTGTCCTTTGAAATTGTGTAACAGAATGACATCATCATTTATTATCTTTTTGTTTTCATTCGATGAAATGAAAGATAAGAAGAACAAAAGATAAATTATCGGCTCAGAAACACGGGTGTAGAATCATAAGATAATCATATCTCCAAGGTAAAAGATTCTTCATCATGGCCGATAAATTATTAAATATTTACATTTAAGATTCACCGAATCAGATAGAAATTAATTAGAAGAATCATGACGCATGTACGGTTCATAAACACGGTCTAAATATTGTCATCAATTTCGGTGTTCTTTAGTCAGGATTCGAACACAATAACTATCAATATTTTATTCTAGAACGAGTGAACAAAAGTATTCAATATATTTATAAGCATATTTTCGTATCAGACAACAACAAAAAAAAAAAATTTTTTCTATAAGAAATTTTTAATTAAAATTTATTTTTCATTCTGTAATCAATCACTATCATATTGGAATACATGTAACAAAAAAAGAAAATATCTTTTAAAATTACAAAAATAAAACCATTCAAGTATCATTGCTTATCATACGATCAAATAATGAATATAAAAAAAAAAAAAAAAGAAGAAATAGAAAAATATAAAAAAAATACATATCACAATAAAATGTCGTACTAATTTAACAAGATTTCATTCTACTTGGTTGTACCCATCCTCCCATAGTTTGTTCAATTTCTTGTGCAACAGCTAAACTTAATTTATCATGACCTCGACCAGCAATACATTGTATACCTAATGGTAAATATTGACTATCTAATCCTAATGGACATTGTGTTGATGGTAAACCTAATGCATTAATAATACCACAATAAATATAATCAAATGTATTCATAATTAAAGGCCAACCATGAAATGGTGCTGATTGAGGAAATGTTGGAAATAATAAAACTCCATCATCACCTAATAATACTTGAATTTCATCAAAAAATTTATGTGCTAATCTATGAAAACGTCTATTATATTTATTTGGTAATGCTTCTAATATAAGAAGACCTATAGCTGGTAATGTATGTGTTGAACGAAATAAAAATTTTTTTAATAATTCATGATAACCATTTACATATGTATTATTACAAAGTGATAATGAAAAATCACTTGATGATAATTCACCATCAACCATCATTGCTGACCATAATGATACAGCATAACGAAGACGATTTAATCGTAAACGTGGTATATGAATTTTATATTTATGTTCAAAATGTTCGACTACCTAATACATTATCATAATTATTATAAAAAATTTTTGTTTTTCAATAGAACTTACTCGTCGATGAGCTAATTTTTGTTCTTCATCAACTTTATTAACAAAATAAGCATCCATTTCATCAATATAAAAATAACGTAATTTACTTAAATCAACCTTTAATAAAAAAAAAAAAAAATATTGATCTAGTCCTTAATGAAATTCAGATATCCTTTTTAAATTTCGTACATTCATTTGTATAAAAGATCTCAATGCATAATATTCTCTATCTCAATAAACTTTGAAGTAATCATATTGATTGTGACAAATCAATATAATTAGAAATATACTCCACTGAATAGTATATATAATGATCTTGATATGTTAGTCGATCGAACTTACCGGAGTATCAATATCTATTAATTTGTCAATATTTTCTGAACCTGCCAATACTTTAAGCATTGGTTGTAAATCACATGCATAACGACACATTGGTCCTGTTGCTAATAGATATTTTTGATGATGATCTTTATGTGGTGGATATTGACCATCATTAGGAACTATATCTATTCAAAATAAATGAAATTATTTTTGTTTTTAATTAAAATAAAATTCTTTTGTCTATACTAGGTGTTGTTTTATGTCCAAATATTCCATTCATAAATGAAGGTAATCGAATACTTCCGCCTATATCTGCACCAACAGAAAATGGTACACCAGCTGCTGAAACAATACAACCAGCACCACCTGAACTACCACCAACAATTCTTGTTAAATCATATGGATTATTCGTTACACCATAAAGAGAATTTCGTCTAGAATAATTTAGATAATTAATTGAATTTTTTTCTTTTTTTTTGTAAATAAACTTACGATTCAAACCACATACAACCTTCACTAACATTCGTATTGCATAAAAGAATAGCACCTGATTTTATCATATTTTCTACTGATTTTGCTGTTTCAGTTGATATAATATCTTTTCTTGCCTCAATTCCAGTTGAATTATGAAAACCAGGAAATTGCATTGATTCTTTAATAGCAAATGGAACACCAAGAAATGGTGCTTGTTCTTCGCTATATTGTTCAGGTAATGAATTTCCATTATCTAATATTTCATCTATTTGTCGTGCTTCATTTAATGCTTGTTCAAATCTTTCATCAACATAAACATTTAAATAAGGTTGTATAGTTTTTATTCGTTCAACATAAGCACGAACAACTTCATAAGCTGTTACCTAATAAACAAAAAAATTAATTTTTTTATTTATTTTTTTTGACTAAATTACTTGTCGTTGACGAATACGTTTAGCAATTACAGTTGCTGGTTGAAGTAATATTTGATTTGTTATAGGTGGTAATTTAAATTTTTGATTTCCAAATATTAAACGAAAACCAAGTTTAATCCATATTGATAAAAAACTACGAATTAACCATAGAATAAAAGAAATAAATTTTAATGTTTTATCCATTGCTCAACAAAACAAAAATATCAACTGATTTACAATAAAACCAAAACAGAACAATAGAGAAAGAGAAACAGAGATAGTTTATCAGTTATGAATTGGTAGACTTTCGACCAATGTTAGTCATTCGCAGAAACATGACGTGACATCATTAGACAGCTATATGTAAAACAAAAAGTGTTCCATATACATAGTCAAAACAAAAAAAAAATATTATAACATCAAATTTTTACTTTTCATTCTTATCTAGTTTTATATATTAAAAACAAAAAATAAATTATAATATCTAAAGTTACATAGGCAAGTCATTGCGCAACATAGAAACGATCATATATGCAAAATGTCCCCAAAAATCCTTTTCTAAAAGTTTTTTCGTATATCTTTACTATTTTATTTAACTTTATCAACTATTTTTTTTTAAATCATAAGTAAATACAGCGAGTTTTTATTTATACAAGCAAAATTCAAAGATGTTCTTCAAAGGTTTTTACTTGTAATTGAAATATTAAAATTCAACCATTTATCTATAATGTAAAAAGATATTCTGCAATGATTACTTTTTCTTTTTTAATTGTTTCATTTTCTTGAATGTTATCCATGCGTTCACTCTCTGCATTGATTAATCAACATAGTTTCTGTATTTGAACTAAAATTCATCCGCTGTTGTGTCATTTCAAAGTTGCAATGTGAAGCGTTAAGTAAATTAAATGTTAAGTCACTTTTTTTGATAATCCAACGATTGTTCAACAAAATAATCTTGACATGCTCTAACGTTTCTTTTACCTGATTTTATACAAGAAAAAAGGTGATTTTCCAGCAACATATGACATTAGGACATTGCTTCAAGACAATTCACTACTGTCTCACCGATGAATGTGATGATCAGTGGTTTTGAAGAGATAAACTGAGCTTTGTGGTCACTAGACTTAATACCATTGAATTTATTTTTGTGAGAATATGTCAAAACAAATGTCTATAAAACGATTATTAAGGATCAGAATGATTCAAGAAATTGAAATTAATTAAAAATGAATCGTTGTTACAGATGAGAGCTTTGAAGTATGCTCGTGCAATTAAAAAGTCAGTGTATGAATCTATCATTAAAACAAAATCAGTTGATAAGTTGAATCGAATAGTAATGATATATAGAAAAACTTTTGAAGCACTCTACATAAAAAGAACGAACAATAGTTTTATTATTATGTTCGAAACTCCTCAGAATAGAAGATCATGAATTTTTCAAAATTTTTTTTCGAAAACTTTAACGAATTTTAAGGATAGCAACTACAAATCTGATTCTATGGTACTTAGTTGTTAATAAATCCTATTTGAATATCAGAAGAGTTTTTCAAAAGTCCTTGATTTTCTAGGTTAATATTAGCAAAAGCCTAGCCCACAATAGAAGGCTATGGCTTTTTATTTCGGAAAAAAAATTTACGAGAAGGAAACGACTGACTTTTTGACTTAATTAACTTAAAATGATTTTCATGACTTTAATGATTTTAAAAAACATACATCTCTGGACAAAAGTTTTTTCCTCCTCTTTCTTTCTGCACTATGATATTTTGCATCAAATTTATTACCAAGTAAAGATATGACATAAGAGTTTTATTTCAGTGAAATAAAACACTTATGTCATATCTTTACTTGCTAATAAATTTGATGCAAAGTATCACAGTACAAAAAGAAAGAGGGGAAAAAAACTTTTGTCCAGAGGTGTAGGTGAGGTTAGAAGTGGATTCGAATAATTTCAGCGGCGATTCATTCAAGAACCTGTTCTAGAGCTCCTAATCAATATTCCAAGTACAACTTGGCGAGCTCTATCTAATAGTATCATTAGATTTCCTATAACCCTAACCATGCTCTAAAAAAACCATGAAATACTGGTAGATCAGTATAAGAATATTGGAACTACTATAGTAAATATATCAGCGAAGCGTCTAGAAACCTGTTCCAAAATTCCTATTTTTGTTCAAGTAGAACTTGACAAGCTCTATCCAATGGTATAATTAAATTTTTCATAGCTCAAATAACTAACGAAAGTTAGTAGTCGATTCAAGTCTTTCTTTCTAATATTCGTTTCTGAATCTGTACTGTTCCTCTGGTTGGCGATGATGGATTGACCTGGATTTAGAACAGCTTTGCTTTCAATCGACTTTTTTCTGTATCATAAAATGTAGGAATTATTTAATATTTTCGCTAGTTGTAACAAAATGATGTCCATTTCGTGATGTATGGAAAACAATTAAGGTAAAGTACAGTGAACTCGTTCATTGCAATGTCCGTGCAACTGAAACCAATTAAAATGAGAAGTGTGCAAGTGATATGTCAGATCCTAATGCAGAGAATCGAAGACGAGATGAAGTTTTTATTGTGTAGATCGGTATACCTTTCCCTGTGATCTGTCCTCGCCGTATATAATTTTTTTTACGCATTTAATTCCTGCTTCTTTTGTCAGCTGTTTCTGTACGTCCCACTATATTCCTTCTAAGTCTCGTTTTCCCCTTGGAGATTTAATTTACTTGAATTTTATTGAATTAAATGATTATTATACTAACGAATTACATATAATTAGTACGAGTTATCAACTATGTAAACTGTCTTATTAGAGAAGATATTTTTGTTTAAAAAATTTTATCTCTGACGAAATTTTTAATCATATTTTATTCCTATAACCAATAATTCGATGTTCATGTGATGTTCTTCCTTGGTTTTTTTTCATCATAATATTCATATATTTACTAAATTTTAAGTTGGAAAATATAATGCGAAATGAAATTAAAACAAACTTTATATGTTAAAATTAATTAACTTAAAATGATTGTTTCATGATGAATTTATTATTCTTTCAAAATTTTGAACTATTAAAAATGAAATGGATCATTAAAACTATAGAATCTAATCGAAAAAAATTTTTATTTTCATACATTTTTCTAAACTAAACTATTTTCATAAAATTAATTATCAGTTGGCATTAATTATATATGTTACAGCATATAGAGGATATTATCTGTTATAGAAAGTGAATTTTAGTGATTAAAATATTGATTAATTCTTCTTTTGTTTTCTCATATCTATCGAATAATTAGAAGCGTTGTATACGCAGGAGCGTAGCCAGAAGGGTGTACATAGTGCCTGCGCATCTTCCTTGGACAAAAAATACTTGGGGATGGTGAAGCCGAAAATATTTTCGCGAACAAAAAAATTATTTTTCTGCTGGTCTGCATCCTCTCCCCTCAATTACAAGTCGGGCATCTCCCTTGAAAAATTCCTGACTATGCCTCTGATTCGGTTATCTATTTTCTTTTGTTCATTTGTGAAGATGATTTAAATAATTCAATATCTTAGATTGTACATTTAATCATCAGTTTATTCTCACTGGTTCGTTTACTTTTAACATGAATGTACAACTGTGATCGATCGCAAAAAGACAATTATATTTCAACAATTTTCATATGACAATTCAATAGAAATATATAAAGGAGATAATTGTTATTGTTTTTATTCGTATTTAAGAAGGATAAAGTATCTTTTTCCTCTTGTTGCAGTGCTCAAGATCTGTGAAAAAAGTTTTAATAGATTTCTTTCCTTAACAATGAACTATGTACATCGATTATCTTGATAATATTAGCCTAAAAAATCTCATCCATCAGTATAATACAATATAGAAGAGAAAAACATTTTCAATATCGATTATATTCTCTTCATATAATTAGATGCATGCTAATAGTCTGAGTTATTCAACACGACATGATCAAGAATATCTCAATTGTTTACGATTTTCATATGCATAATGTATTCATAGTTGTGCCATCTGATACTCACACTAAGACAAAGATAAAAAATAAAAATGACAACCAAATTTTATTCGACTAACATTCATTGTCTTTGTCTCTGTTCTTTCTGTAGAATATCATTCCGCCTACTATTTATTAAAATAATATGGAAATATAATATTTTCTTTTGATAAAAACAAATCTTACTCTCTGGATGTTTTACAATTAAACAATGCTTAAAGTAATTGTTCATAATGCTGAACGTGTTCCTAATTTGGAACGTTTCTCTACTGTTGATCCAATGGTTACAGTTATTTTTCAAGGTATATACCAATTATTGAGTAGAGAAGAGTTAATAAACAAATTAAATATAATTTTAAGATATTTATGATCAAGTGATTTCGTAACTTGATCAATTCTTATGTTTAAAGGATCTTGTCGAATAAGGTGGTCTATTCAGAATTGAGAGATCAAGTATACTGTGTTGTAGCATAAGTTGAGACGCGTCGAATAGTATATAGTAAATTTGATTTTCATAAGAATTTGAGAGAACTAGAGTCAATTTATTGATAGACGACTACGCATCCAAAGTATGATCATTATGATCCTTGGTATTAGTCGAAAGTGTTTGTAAAAAGTTTTTCTTACATATGATTTACCACCGGTTTTCACTAATGATGGATTCGGTGTCTTCGATAATGTCGACCATCGAAGAGAAGAGGTGACCAGACATAAAACTTTCTCAGCAAACTGTCCACGATCTATCACTACAAAACACACTATTTGAAAGGTCTTCAAAATTTGTGTATGATACTCTAAATTGCCTTGCGTTGAGAACTCTTACCCAAATTTTCAATCAATTTTCATCTTTTAACACTGTATTTCGATATTTTGACTATCAAAAGTCAATTCTACTGCAGAATAGACATGATATTCGGAATCAGCATAAAAAACTGCATCGAATAGCTTATATTTTAACCAAATATTTTTCTCACCAAAATTCGACCTGTATTCGCCTCTCAACCTTATTTCTAAATTTCATTCTCTCTGTGGTCGCCTGTCAAAAACTCTACAAATCTGTACATAAGAAAAACTTTTTATAAATATTTTCGACTGATATCAAGGATCACAATGATCATACTTTGGATGCGTAATCGTCTATCAATAAATTGACTCTAGTTCTCTTAAATTCTTATGAAAATCAAGCTTGCTATATACTATCCGACACGC